ATAAATTTCTTAAGTCATATGATCTGCCCAGATTGAGTCAGGAGGATATAGAAAACCTAAACAGACCAATATCAATTGAGGAAATAGAAGAAACCATAAAAAGACTACCAACTAAGAAAAGCCCAGGTCCGGATGGGTATACAGCAGAATTTTACAAAACCTTTAAAGAAGAACTAATACCAATACTTTTCAAGCTACTTCAGGAAATAGAAAAGGAGGGAGAACTTCCAAATTCATTCTATGAGGCCAACATCACCCTGATACCTAAACCAGACAAAGACATTTCAAAGAAAGAAAACTACAGACCAATATCTCTAATGAACCTAGATGCAAAAATCCTCAATAAAATTCTGGCGAATCGGATACAAAAACATATCAAAAAAATTGTACACCATGATCAAGTAGGATTCATCCCTGGGATGCAAGGCTGGTTCAATATACAGAAATCAATAAATGTTATTCACCACATCAATAGACTTAAAAATAAGAACCATATGATCATCTCGATAGATGCGGAAAAAGCATTCGACAAAGTACAGCATCCCTTTATGTTCAAAACTCTAGAAAAACTAGGGATAACAGGAACATACCTCAATATTGTAAAAGCAATCTATGCTAAGCCTCAGGCTAGCATCATTCTGAATGGAGAAAAACTGAAGGCATTCCCTCTAAAATCTGGAACAAGACAGGGATGCCCTCTCTCTCCACTTCTGTTCAACATAGTTCTCGAAACACTGGCCAGAGCAATTAGACAGACGAAAGAAATTAAAGGCATAAAAATAGGAAAAGAAGAACTTAAATTATCACTATTTGCAGATGATATGATTCTATACCTAGCAGACCCAAAAGGCTCTACAAAGAAACTATTAGAGCTAATAAATGAATTCAGCAAAGTGGCAGGATATAAAATCAACACGCATAAATCAAAGGCATTCCTGTATATCAGCGACAAATCCTCTGAAATGGAAATGAGGACAACCACTCCATTCACAATATCTTCAAAAAAAATTAAATACTTGGGAATCAACCTAACAAAAGAGGTGAAAGACTTATACAATGAAAACTACAGAACCCTAAAGAGAGAAATAGAAGAAGATCTTAGAAGATGGAAAAATATACCCTGTTCATGGATAGGCAGAACTAACATCATCAAAATGGCGATATTACCAAAGTTCTCTATAGGTTTAATGCAATGCCAATCAAAATCCCAATGGCATTTCTTGTAGAAATAGAGAAAGCAATCATGAAATTCATATGGAAAAATAAAAGACCCAGAATAGCAAAAGCAATGCTAAGCAAGAAGTGTGAATGAGGCGGTATAGCGATACCAGACTTCAAACTATACTACAGAGCAACAGTAACAAAAACAGCATGGTACTGGTACCAAAACAGGCGGGTGGACCAATGGTACAGAATAGAGGACACAGAAACCAATCCACAAAACTACAACTATCTTATATTTGATAAAGGGGCTAAAAGCATGCAATGGAGGAAGGATAGCATCTTCAACAAATGGTGCTGGGAAAACTGGAAATCCATATGCAACAAAATGAAACTGAATCCCTTTCTCTCGCCATGCACAAAAGTGAATTCAAAATGGATCAAGGAGCTTGATATCAAATCAGAGACACGCCGTCTGATAGAAGAAAAAGTTGGCTACGATCTACAGTCGGTGGGGTCGGGCTCCAAATTCCTCAATAGGACACCCATAGCACAAAAGTTAATAACTAGAATCAACAAATGGGACTTACTCAAACTAAAAAGTTTTTTCTCAGCAAAAGAAACAATAAGAGAGGTAAATAGGGAGCCTACACCCTGGGAACAAATCTTTACTCCTCACACTTCAGATAGAGCCCTAATATCCAGAGTATACAAAAAACTCAAAAAATTAGACAATAAGAGAACAAACAACCTCATCAACAAATGGGCCAAGGACCTGAACAGACACTTCTCAGAGAAGGGTATACATATGCGAAAAAATGCTCACCATCACTAGCAATCAGAGAAATGCAAATTAAAACCACGCTAGGATACCATCTCACTCCAATAAGAATGGCAGCCATTATGAAGTCAAACAACAACAAGTGCTGGCGAGGATGTGGGGAAAAGGGTACACTTGTACATTGCTGGTGGGACTGCAGATTGGTGCAGCCAATTTGGAAAGCAGTATGGAGATTTCTTGGAAAGCTGGGAATGGAGCCACCATTTGACCCAGCTATTCCCCTTCTCGGTCTATTCCCTAAAGACCTAAAAAGAGCATGCTACAGGGACACTGCTACATCGATGTTCATAGCAGCACAGTTCACAATAGCAAGACTGTGGAACCAACCTAGATGCCATCTTCAATAGATGAATGGATAAAAAAAATGTGGCATTTATACACAATGGAGTATTACTCTGCATTAAAAAATGACAACATCATAGAATTTACAGGGAAATGGATGGCATTAGAGCAGATTATGCTAAGTGAAGCTAGCCAATCCCTAAAAAACAAATGCCAAATGTCTTCTTTGATATAAGGAGAGTAACTAAGAACAGAGTAGGGACGAAGAGCATGAGAAGAAGATTAACATTAAACAGGGATGAGAGGTGGGAGGGAAAGGGAGAGAGAAGGGAAAATGCATGGTAATGGAAGGAGACCCTCAGGGTTATACAGTGGAGGGGGTAGAGAGAGAGGAGGGGAGGGGAGGGGAGAGGTGGGGAGGGGGGAGGGTGGATGATGGGAAAGGCAGCGGAGCACAACAGACACTAGTATGGAAATTTGTAAATCAATGGATGTGTAACTGATGTGATTCTGCAATCTGTGTATGGGGTGAAGGTGGGAGTTCATAACCCACTTGAATCAAAGTGTGGAATATGATATGTCAAGAAATTTGTAATGTTTTGAACAACCCACAATAAAAAATTAAAAAAAAAAAACTTATTTGATCTAAAAACGATCTCAAACTAACTTTAAATGAACCACATTACTATGTTGACCTATACTGAGGAGGAAAATTAATATTTGTCAACAATAAAGCATTCCAAAGTGTGAAGGTTAAAACAAAGCAATAAAAAATGCTCTTCAAAACAAAAAAAAAAAGAAAATGTGGTATGTATACACAATGGAATTTTATTCATCCATAAAGAAGAATGAAATTATAGCATTTGCAGGAAAATGGATGAAACTTGAGAGCATTCTGTTAAGTTAAATAAACCAGACTCATAAAATCAGAAATCATATGTTTTCTCTCATCTATTAAAACTGGAGAGGAAAGAGGAAAAGAAAGGTTGGGGAAGAGTCATGAAAATCTAAGGGAGACAGGTAGAGTAGAAGAAGAGGACTAGGGAGAAGGAAGAGAGGAGGGGAAAGGAAAATACTTAAGAAGTATATTTACCAAATTATATTGTTATATTGTTTGCATGTATGAATATGTAACAATGAATCCCACTATTTTGTATAGTTATAGTAAGCCAATAAAAACTGTGGGAAAAGAATACTATCCATATTTCATTTTTTGCAGATTTATCCAGTCAACAAATATTGGTTCCTAGTTGTCAATATTCTGAGTATGTGCACAGGCATATGTGTGTCTTTGTGTGTTTGTGTATTTCTCTTTTTTATATATTTTTAGCTGTTAATGGACTTTATTTTATTTATTTATATGCAATGCTGAGAATCAAACCCAGTGCTTCACACATGCTTGGCAAGTGCTCTACCACTGAGCCACAACCCCAGCTCATGTGTATTTCTGTCCTTGTAAATTAACTGAATAAAATCTTTGACTTCTTTAAAAAAAAAAAAAAAAGAAAAGCTTAGTCATTTAAAGGTACTGAAGTATTTCAGGTTTAACAGTCACTATAAGAAAACAGTGATGTGTTTACCTTCAGTGTACAGAGAACACACAAGGACTCTGGATGTATGAAGCTTATGGGAAAGGCTATGATTTAAAATAAGTAGCTTCTCTGCTGATATTTGGAGCTATCATTCGAAGTGCCAGTTTCCTTTAGTATGGTGTGCAATACAATGACACCATTTTGCTGCAACAGAAGGAAGTAGAAGAAAGTTGGCCATGAATGAAACTCAGTTTTAAGACTGTGGGAGATAAAATGAAGAAAATGAGAGGTTTCATTTTAGGGACAGGGTGGATTTTTAGATGTAGATCTCATCAGAAACTCACAGGAACTGCTTCCAGGGCTCAGTATTTAGCAATACTCCTTCTTACTCAGTTTTGGCATGTTCAGAAATTAATCCTGTGCCAGACTCATGTATGGTCAGCTCTGAAAGTTTGATAAAGGTGTCAACTCTTTGTTGCTCTACCTGGAAGAGGAGGATCAGACTTCCACCTTTCACATTGTTGGGGTATGTGTGGAGGAGTAGAGGACACTGTGGAAGTGACAGCATAGTGCCTACTATGAATATGCATTCTGTACATGAAACTTTCAGATTTTATCTTTATGCCTTATTTTTATGTAGAGCACTGGTGGCTTTTCATATTCTCATTATTTTTCAATTCTCACTATAACAAATAAGCATTATTTCTTTTTTTAAAATAATTTTTTAGTTATAGATGGACACAATATCTTTATTTTACTTATTTATTTTTATGTGGTGCTAAGGATTAAACCCATTGCCTCACACATGCTAGGAAAGCACTCCACCACTGAGTCACAACCCCAGCCCCAAGCATTATTTCTTAACGATGAGACACAGAACAGAGAAGTGTCCCATTGCAGGAAGAGGTGGTGGGGGATGTCAGCTGATTTGCCCCAGGTCCCAAAGCTGGAAGGTCAGGCTCCTAACCAACGTACACAGTGCTCTTTCCATTACGTTCAGGGTCATTAGAAGCCTCAGGAAGAGCGCTTTGTCTATTGGAGACCATGAGATATATTACATGAAGTTTATTTTTGTTAACTATGTACAGAAAAACTTTACCAGGCCAGTAAAATTGCATCCATAATTCAGTCATTATAAAAATAAATGTAGGAAAATAAATATAAATTTCCACTCTGTTTTTCAGATATGCAACACTTCCATGGATGTATCTGATGTCCAGAATCTTCTCCAGTTCAGATGTGGCTTTCATCTCCTACATCTCATTGAACTTTATCTTTGGTCTGTGTACCATGCTAATGACCACCATGCCCCGGATCCTGGCCATCATCTCCAAAGCCCAGGTCAGTCAGTGGCAATGTGTCATTTCTGAAGGCATGAGTGAAAGGAGAACAGGGATGCATGTGTCTTTTGTTGTTTTTCCTACTGCAATTCAATGGAAATGTGCTAGTATCCACTGCCTTCAAATTCCAGAAAAAGAAATGCATTCTAATTTAAAAACCCATCTGTAGCATTATAAGAGCCATGTGCTGGGTTGGTGATAATTGAACAAAGGATGCACAGTTGCAACTGTTCCAAAAGCCAAGGCAGATCTATGAATACGGTCACTGCTGCATACCTGGTGTCTTTCTTAGAGATCGTTCAATGGTGAATTACTGATTAATGATGGATGAGTGAATGCACTGATAAGTGCCTTGTCACAATGTCACCATGGCAGTGGTTGGACATTACAGTGTAGGATGGGCCACAGCAACTGACCCTACTTTCAGATCATAACACATCTGTATGGATTCTGCCTTCTCTCCTATATCCCCTAGTACTGATTTAGTTTTTACTAAATGAATAAAAAACAGTAAATTCTACTAAGAAATAGAAAAATGCTTCTCTTCATTAGGCCATTCCCATTAGCAAGGACCTTTTAGGGTACTTTTCAAACATCCAAATTGGTGTCTAGGTCAAGCTGAATGCTTTCTGTAGACACACTCCAATTGTTCCTTGCCATTCCCCTTCTCTCCTGTCTCTCCTTACTCTTGGCCTGTGCTTCAAGCCATCTGACAGCCCATGTATGACCAATGGGTGTAGACTTCGGACTTTGTGCTCTATTTTGACCCTATATTTTAATCCTTTTTGTTTCTGCACTCTTTTCTCACCTCTGATCACACTGTTCCCTTCTGGCTTCCTGCTGTTCACATGAGCTTTGATTTCTCATTTGTTCCCAGGGTTTGACTAATGCTTAGTTTGAGGAAATCACCTGAGAAAGGTACAGAGCTCCCCGTTGAAGGATGTGCTGTTGGTATCATTCCCAATGACACAAGAACTGATGCCTACCTGATCAGGCGGCTTTACTCCTCATGACTGGATCAGACTTAGCAGACTCTTGAATGATGGCCAATATTATTTTTTATTATTGTGCCTCATGTTTGTGCAGAAGCAGTGAAGTATGTAAATATCCATTACACATTCAATGAGGGGAATGATCTATTTCAGTGATTTTTTTACAGATCTGGTTTGACAGTAATCTGTGTTAATATGTCTAGCCTTTAAATAGAAAGCTTTCAGAACAATTAATTGGCATTAGCTTGAGAAGAATATTGAAATCAGCAGAAGCAGAATACAATTTTCCTCCCCCTCTATCAGTTTGTAATATGACATGTGCCATCAGGAATACATAGGAATTGTGGTAAAAAATAAATCCGACCCAAAATAAACAATCCCAAAGGTGAGAAACTCAGAATTCAGGTCAATTCTAGGGGACAAGATAATAGAGGAAACTAGCCAGGAACATTTTCATCCATTAAAGTCTAAAAGCATGGCAGGTAGAAACACATTGTTACTTCCAATTATAAACATCATTGCCTCCCTAAAGAAAATGCTAGCTAATAGATACTATTTTTGCAAAAATAAAATTTGTCTAAATCAATTGGTAATAAGTAACAAGAACAATTTTATTACATTTTCTTATGTCTTTCTTTTCCTTTGCTCTTTATTTTGATATTCTCTGTCTTAAAAACTCACAATTATTCAAGTATTGATTTCTAAGAAAAGTATTCATTTGTAAGTCATGGAACAATATGATCTTACAGATTTAATGAAAGAAACCAAAAAAAAAAAAAAAAAAAAGCAACTGACTTCTCAGGTCAGTCATAAGATCTAATATAACCTGTATGTATTAGTCAGCTTTTTGTTGCTTTGACCAAAATACCTGACAAGAAGAACTGAGAGGAGGAAAAGTTTATTTTGAGGTCATGGTTTTCAGACCTTGGGCAGGTGACTCCATTGCTCTGGGGCCAAGGTAAAGCAGAATATTATGGCAGATTGGCTTGGTGGAAGGGCAATATCTGTTCTTGGCGTCCAGGAAGCGGAGATAGAAAGGGGAAAGGCCATTAGGGAAGATGAACCCTTTCATGGCAGAATCCATCCTCAGTGGGTACTAAGGTGGTACCAGTTCCCACCTCCTCCAGCCATGCCCTACAGTTAACATCCACTTAGCCCATCCAAACTAGAATGGATTGGTTAGGTGTAGCTCTCAGAACCCAGGCATTTCACCTTCCAACATTGCTGTATTAACACAGGAGCTTTTGAGGGACACCTCATATCAAAACCATAATATCATATTAACCATCATGCATATAAACTATAGTGTTGATGTGATATTTTTTCATTGTTATCAAATCGTAGTTGATAAAATTATGCTTTTAGTTTCTAGTGCAAGGAAGTTTAGGATCTCTCTCTCTCCTACTGGTAAGGATTCCTGTTGGGGCCAGAAGGATGTTGGTGGAACTAAAAATAATGGTGCTTGTTTCTGGGTAGACTGGTCATGTGATCAGTCTCTACATATCCTAAATGGAACACTGTGTGTGGATCCTTTGTCCATGAATGCAGCTACAACCCCTCAAATGCGTGGACTCTCTATTAACTCAGTGTTCATACTTCTTTGTTCATACTTGTATGGAGATGATTGTGAATTCCTTAAAATGAGATATAAAGTCATCACCATTAGTATATCATTTCCTTAATTACCTACCAATTCCTGCGTTAAAACCTACACTCTTCTGCTGTTCCTATACTAACACTAATAATATAAAATCTTTTCATGAGGTACATTAATTGATCCAGGGATATAGTTTTATGAAAAGTGGAATTAATAAGCTCCTTTAGGACTGATCAAAATTTATAACTAGTAGCAGTCAAGAAAAAACTAAGAAAGAATTAAATGAAGCTTTTGTACTTTCTTCATGTCTACATGCAAAAGACAATAAATCATATTATGATAGTAAATGCCTTAAAAAGTTGTTATTAAATTTGCTGTAGCTCAAAAACACATTATTTAAGGCTATACTTAGCTTAATTAAGTGTTTAGTTTGCATTGTAAGGGAAAAACTGTATATTATCTAGTGAGAAATATGCATTGACAATTATGTAAGTTTATTTTTAAATATATATTATAATATATATATATATATATATATATATATATATATATATATATTATATCATATGAACATATTGTGATGATTTTCCCTGACTTATAAAATAAACTTGTTCATTTTTAGATAGAGTAGTGAAAGACTGTAAAATATAAGTCTAATTCTTCATTGTATTTGCAGGGTTTGGTAGTTCCAGTTAATGTGTTCTTTCTGGGTTAAATACTTTCAGATATCTTTACTGAGTCTAAATGTCAACTGAACAGACCAGCATTTTGGTGAATTTTCTCCAAAGGCTATGCTCCTTAGTGGAAAGACCTTGTTCTTTGGATTAGAAAGGTCAGGATCAATTCCTGGCCCTAATGAGTGTGGCTTGCATATTTTAATCACCATTTGAGACTGTTTCTTCAGTGGTAACTGAAGAAATCTTGTATATTTATTGAGAGAATGAAATATGATAAAGTCCAATGAAGCTGAAAGCATATAACAATTTGCCAAAAGCATTTAGTGGACAATTGATTTAACAGTATAATAAGTTTAATCTCATTTAAAAGTAAAATTAGCATTTACCAGATAGTAACGAGAAGAACAGAATGTATGAGAGATTTAAAATTTTTAGATATATTCTGTTTTAAAATTGTGTTCAGATATACAGTCTATCTTATTTGATTTATTTTCTCTGGGATCTTTTTGACCTCTTATACATGTTTTTGTGGCACCACTCAATTTTGTGTTTAATAATGATGATGCATATATTTAATGTTTATTGTGTGTTAAGAATTGACTAGACATTTGGCATATTATTTAAGTGTTCACAGTCACAAGTTCCTAATATTTCCAACTCACTGAAACTTTCATGTCATCTTTGGACTACTAATATTACCCATGTGTCTTAGTTTGCTCCTACTGCTGTAACAAAAACCATAGCTTAAACAGTAGAACATATTTCCAATAGCTCTAGATACTGAGAAGTCCAAGATCAAGGGGACTTTAGACTTGGTTCTTCATTGAACCCTGTGACTTTTAGATGGCTACATTCTCATTGTGTCCTGAAAGGGTGGAGAGAGAGAGAGAGAGAGCGAGCATTGTTGTCCCTTGATGTTCTCATAGTATATTAATTCCATTTTGAAAGCTCCACCCTCATGACTTCATCTATACCTAACTACCTCTCAAAGGCCCCATGTCTAACAGTGTCACATTGACAGTGTTGACAATGTTCAAAGTATGAATTTGAGAGTAGCACAAATATTCAGTCCATAACATTCTGCTCTTGGGCCCCCAAAGTTCAAATCTTTGTCCCATGCAAAATATACTCATTCCATCTCACCAACCCTAAAGTCTTAACTTATTGCAGCATCCACTCTAAAATCTAAGGTCCAAAGTATCATTTATAAATACCACCTGAATCAGGTATGGGTGAAACTGAAAGTTATATTTCATCCTGAGGCAATTTTGTTTCGAACCCTGAGCCCTTGAAACCAAATAAGTTATGTGCTTCCAAAATATAATGGTGAGACAGCCATATGATAGGCATTCCTATTCTAAAGGAGAGAAAAGAAATAAAGGTGTCATGGGTTGCAAGCAGGTAAAGCCAAGCAAGGCAAATACCATTGTATCCAAAATCTGAATAGTAAACTTCTTTAGTTTGACAGCTGTGTGAGGATGCTCCTGAGTAGTTGGGATAGGGAAACCTGGGACACAGCTCCAACAAAGGAGGAAAATAAGTTATGGATACATTATCAAAGAGAAATAGCTTTTAATTTTATTGTTTGTTTCTTCTCTGTGCAGAATTTACAGAATATCTATGATGTCCTCAAGTGGGTCTTCACTATTTTCCCTCAATTCTGCTTGGGTCAAGGACTGATAGAACTCTGTTATAACCAGATCAAATATGACCTGACCCACAACTTCGGCATTGATTCCTATGTGAGTCCCTTTGAGATGGACTTCCTGGGCTGGATCTTTGTGGTATTGGCCTCTCAGGGCACAATTCTTCTCCTCTTGAGGATCCTACTGCACTGGGACCTTCTGCAGTGGTCAAGGTGTGTGTGTTCTGAAGGGCTTTGCCTCTCATGGCAGTGACTTTTGAATAAAGAAAGGGAGAAAAAAAAGTCCAGCCTGGAGGTTGCAAGATAAGAAAAGTGTCTGATCAGTATTATGCATGGTTATAATAAGTTAAGATATTATGTTTCTTTTTTTATTTTGATTCATGTTGAGTCACCAACACCAGGAAAAGGGAATTTCAAAAGATAAAGTGCCAACTGGTGAGATAATCGTTCCAATTATTTAGTTGTCTCCGTGTATTTTCCACTTTGAAATTGCTCAATTTCCTTGTTACTTTGTAGTTCCTCAGGTGAATTTGGTTGATACCGTAAAGTAATTTATTTTATGACTAAATGCCATTAACTCTTGGAAGCAGGAAAGTATGAAAATTCAGCAGAGATAACTGCATGGCCTTCACCCAATCTAGTTCCTTCTATTGCTGTGTTCTCATCTTTGTTAAGTTAGAATACAAGTCAGTGCCATGCACAGTTTAGATAGATGTATAGACATGTATTTTAGTCTATATACATGCACAGAGACAAACACACATACGCATACACCCACTTTGCAAAGAAGTCAAGATTATTGTCAGATAATACATTTGAGATACATAGGGAAGAAATGTACTTTCTTGTGCAGGTCCTCAATGATGCATCTCCTCCTGCATGACCTGAATCCATTGACCTGCTCTTTCCCAGTGCTATTTCCCTCTGACTTCTGCTTAAGGGAGAGATTCATTTTGGAGAAGTTGTTAAGATCCTGTTACTGGAGAACCTATTAATATTATAAAGGCTAACTAACATTATTAATATTTTATGGTGATTTTCATATATGTATGTTTTCCTTTTCAGTCATTTCATGATGCATTTTCTCACATATCCCATGTGAGCTGCTAACGTAGAGAACCATTTTGATTACAAGTTCCAAAGCTCTTTTGAATTTGGCCATAATCACTCTGGAATCTGCAGATTTGTAAAAACTGACTCAATTTGAAGTAGAGTGCTGTACAAATACAGTTTGTGCTGTGATATCCTTTAACAGTACAGTCTGTTTTAAAACCTGTAATGTAGACCCCACCCCCCTTTGGCAGAATTTCAGCTGCTTCATCCTCCTATATTATCAAAAGATTGTTTTTTAAAAGAAAAGACATTCTGGATTGGGGATACGGCCAGTGGTAGAGCACTTGCTTCACCTGGTATGAGGCTCTGGGTTACACACACACACACATGCACGCACACACACACACACACAACCTCTGGATTCTGTTTATTTTGTAAAGTGTAAGTATTAGTTGAACCTTATTTTAGAATTTTGTCTTTAATTGGGCCCAGTGACACACACCTGTAATCCCAGCAATTCGGGAGGCTGAGGCAAGTTCAAATATAGCCTCAGCAACTAAGTGAGACCTTAAGCAATGTAGTGAGACCCTGTGTCAAAATTTAAAAAAAACAATTTTGTCTTTAATATTCACAGTAGATAGTCAATTTTGTTGTTTTATATCTGCATAAATGTCACAGAGCAAATAAATTTAATCTAATTTAGATATCAGTTGCTTGATGCTCCTTTATAGATATCTGTCAAAATAGTTCAATGACTGTGAGATGCTGTCATTTTTGTCATTTAAATCCAGATCTAATGGGGTCACTAATTATTATTTAAAAGGCACATTCCAAGGTTCTTAACAAGCACCTCTAACTCTGGTGCTCATGTCTGGTAAAGCTATCTGTGATCCTTCGCCATCACCACAGAGATGTTTGCCTCATATTACCTGCACCTGTCTGATTTAACATCCAACACCTCTTCCTGCCTCTGCTCAGCTCCCAAAATACTTTGACCCATCTCAGCATTTCTATAACATCCTTTTTTTAAAAATCTATGGGGCACCTCTGTAGTATTTATATCAATTATCTCTGCTTAATTACAAGCATATAGGAAAATTATACATGCCATAGTTGAATCTTGGAAGAGAATAAGACCATGCGCTCTAAATAGGAACAGAATAGACTTGACTTTCCCCATTCTGAGCAGTGCATCTGTCACTAGAACCTTGGTGCTAGATGTTGAGTGTGGAGGCCGCCTCACTGCTGTCATCACACCCTGGCTCCATTCCGCAACCCCTGGTTGTCTGCTAAGAATTCAGGTCTTGGTTAGCATCCAGCTGTAGCCCAACATCATCCAGGTTGGGTGAGTTTGGGGATTTCTTTCCTGCTTTCTTTTTTTTTTTTTTTCTGGAGATGGGGTGTGCTCTCTGTGTCCTTTGTGCTGGCTGAGTCAGAATAGCCATGTGGTCCAGATATTAGGTATGCTGGAGCATCTGCAAATTTCTGCTATATCTAGTGTCCATCTGGATCTTTCTTCTTTGATAAAGACACCATTTATTGTGATTTTCAGTTGGAAGATGTCTGAGGGTCACATTGCTGAGTGCAGTTGAATGAATTAGGATTGTGGATTGTTGGAAGGGGGGGGCCCAACAAGAAGTAATCTTCGTCACTTGTTCTCCAGCCACCAGAATTAGTTGTGAAGATTAAACAGTTGTGCACATCTGTGTCCCTTCCTGGTACCCTGAGATAAGTAACTCTGGGTTGAGACCCAGGAGGTATCTGTAAAGTACCACAGGTTGTGTGGAGATCATCTGGAGACAGGATGGCATAATGATGGCTTGATCCTTTAGAGTAGGAAAAGGCCTTTGAAGGGCAAAGCAGATCAAGAAACAGACCTTCACCTGGGACAGGGAAATGACATTCAAGCAGGAAAGTATAATTTTGTGGATTTTTAGAAACTGTGCACACCCATGTAACCCCCTCTCAGATTAATTGAATATATTTAACACCTTTGATATTCCTTCCTCATCAATAATTGCCTTCTGGGTAACTGATTTTCTTATTTTTATATGCATTGATTCATTTTTCATGCTTTAGAATGTTATTTAATGATATAATATACACTCCTGAATGTCTAGCTATCAATCATCAAAGATAAGTGTGAAATATATTATATTTTTGCCAAAAGGTGATTTCAGGTCTGGGAAAAAAATACAAAAAAAAGAGTTAAGATGACTGAGGACTGGCAGTGGATATTTTCATTGAGTTTTAATAGCTTCTTATTTTAAAATAGTTTGAGAATTGCAAGGTTGCAAAATTAAGCTCCTATTACCTTTCACCCATTTTCCTCCATAACAATATGATAACATATTCCATAAAAATATTGCCCTGTGAAAAGCAGGAAATTAGTGTTAGTATAATATTTACTCAGTGGTCTGTACCTATTTAATCATTAAAATATAGGCATATTACAGTTTACAGGGGAAATTGAAATTTACTTGAAAATTAAAATGCATCAGATTGAAAACCATAAAGAAAAGAGAGCAGCTTAGATTTAGAGAGAAATGGTTAGAAATTGATAATTAAATTTGTATTCATCTGGAAAATACTTATTGAATACTTTTTGCAAGATGTTGTATGATGTGCTAGCAATACAATCCTTATATGCAATCCAACTTAAACTATAAACTTATAGTATTTGGATGTTTTAATAATTTATTTTATTAAATGAGCTATTTCCTATAAAAGTTGATATAGTTTGATGGCATTTTTTTGCATTTAGTAAGGTCTGGATTTACTTTATTATTCATAAAATTAAAAACTATTTATAGTTGAGTATCAATCTATTTCAGTATCTTTTAGTAGCATGTATATTTCCTTCAAATTAGGGAATGAAAATTAACTCTTGCTGGGAATCAGTAAGCAGGATGTCAAGATTAAGGTGTTTTGGTTGAAGGTGATATAGATATCTGAAGGTGTTTTCTCTTGTTTTCATAATCTCTCTTATAGAATATCCCAATATAATTTCCTAAGTGTGAATTGACTCTGACTTTATCTTTCCAGGGGTCATTCTTCTCTCCAAGGCACAGTCAAGTCTTCCAAGGATATAGATGTTGAAAAGGAAGAAATGAGGGTGCTTGAAGGAAGGACCAGTGGAGACATCCTTGTGTTAAACAGCCTCAGTAAAAGTTATGGAAGCTTTTTTAAGAAGACTATGGCTGTGCAAGATATTAGTTTAGGCATATCAAGAGGAGAGGTAGCAAAGCTTCTCTTTTTGTCCTTTTCTGTTGTGAACCTGTATAATTCTAATTGCTGACCTGCTTGTGATATTCTCAGAATAGCTGAAATCATGGCTATATTCAACCTTTAAATTTCAGGAATTTTCACAATCATAGGTGAAAAACCAAAAAGAGGGTCAATTGGCTCTTTCCATAGTGCAATCACTGTTGATTGATAACATTTGTTTTATTTCATAATTTTTTAAATTTTATGTTACTCAGTAGTTTTAAGTATGGTTTGGACTACGGTATGTCTTTTTAAAAAAAATTAGTTGTAGATAGACACAGTACCTTTAATTTATTTATCATTATGTGGTACTGAGAATCGAACCCAGTGCCTCACACATGTTAGGCAAGCCCTGTACCACTGAGCTCCACCCCCAGCTCTGGGATATCATTTTATTAAGTGAAAGTATATTATAGTTAATAAAGGAAACTGCTTTTTACTCTCACTTTGACTTCAATACTTTTTAAGTGTACAGTTAAGCCCAACTAATAAAATGCTACTCTGGAAAACCAAATAATATTTTTCATACACCATTGCAATAGCTGCAAAATTTTTTCATGGCTATGGCATTAATTCTAGGAGAAATCTTTAATCAGAACTGACAGAAGCCATATAAATTGTACCTGATTTGTACTTAATGCATAAAGGGAAATCAATTCTGGAAATGATTACCTTTAATTAACTGTTAAAAATAAAAGAGCACCTTGCATGCATATTGTTCCAAGCTCCTGAGAATTTCAAAGTAGGCTATATTGTTATCTGATTGGCACCCATTCCCTGCCTGTGAGAGGAGAATAGACATTTCAGATATGAGTATTCTGAGGGTGAAAAAGGCAAAGAGCACAGCCTAAAGCATTCTGGGAGTATCCTTATACCAAAGACTATGATTTCTGGTAGAAAAGGAAAAATGGTAAAGATGTGTCTATTTATAGCTATTCTTTCTACTACTTTAAGACTGGCTCTGCAGTCTTACCTATTTTATTTGAACATTTTTCACCCTTGTTTTGAAATTAATTAAAATCAATATTAATTTGCTGCTACCTCTCTATGGTAGGTTTAAGCTAAGGAGTAAGTGAAAAACTTGAAAATCTTCATAAGAATGATGATTTATGTATCTGATATGAGATGCCATATAAATTTGACTTTTTGTTAGTCAACTTTTTGTTACTGCAATAAAACAGGGGAGATAATTAACTTATAAGAGAGGAGATGTTTATTTGGGCTCACAGTTCTGTAGGTTTCAGTCTATGACTCATTGACCCCTAACTTTGGGCCTGAGTTGGCTTAATTACATCATGGCAGGAGCTCATAGAGAATAAAGATCATTCAACTCATGGCCAAGTGCAAAAGAAGGAGAAATAGAAGGGAACAGGGTCCAAACATCCCCTTCAAGGGCACACACACAATGACCTGACACTATCCACTAGGCCCCACTTCCTAACAGACTGCACCTCTTCCAAATAGCACCAAGGACTAGAGACCAAACCTTCAACATGTAGGCTTTTGGAGACATTCAAGATGAGAATTATTATAAGTTTTATATGCTAAGCTTTTATGAGCATTACAGTTTAGTCACCCAGTTGGGAAGTACTTTGTAAAAGCCTTCAGAAAATAGAAATGACTGAGATATGCTCCTGTGCCTTTAGAAATAACTAACTGGGTAGAAAACCAAAGATCATAAACACACACAGTGTTACACAACAGCATAAGCTTTGTCCCAAGGCAGGATAGGATTAGAAGATATATGAGTGGTAGTGTCTATAGTGCTTTATATCTTAAAGAATATGCAAGGAGAGGAGAAGGACAGTTGCATGGTGAGAGCTTTATTTCAAAGGTAGCTTTATGGCTAAGCCTTTAAACAGAGATACCATCTGGTTGGCCTGGTGGTGGTGTGCCTTGGAGCACCCAGCTAAGGCCTGACCAACATCAATGACATGGGACAGGCCTGGACTGAAATAAAACCATATTTCAGATATGGGTAATTGGGAGAAATATGTTAATTAAAGCAGGTGGCAACTCAGACAGTGGCATTCAGAGGCCTGATGTAGAATTCTGTGATAGCTGGGTGTGGCATGCTGACAGAAATCCAGAAGCAGTCACTTTCTAAGATCCCAGAAGCCAGGAAGCCAGTATATGAAAATAGATAGAATCACTGATTCATTCAAAAACTGTCTGGGAAGGAGATGGACAAGAATCAGATTCTCAGGCACCATGTTGAATTCTCAAACAGAGTATACCTGGAGGCACAAGACTACATCTAGAAAAAAGAACCAGAAGGCCAATTTTTACATGGAATATATGATAGGATTGGACCAAGAAATAAGTTGATTGAGTGTTAAGAGCATAAAACTAAGGGTCATCTTCTGAGTGTCAGTATTTGCATTGAGCTAGGAAAGAATTTGTAACCTCTTCAGTACTCTTCAAGGAAGGTATATAGCTACAAGCAATATACATATGGAGAGTGAAAAATGAAATTAAAAAAAAATCATTTTAGAATATACAGAAATGAATATCAAGAGCATAATTATTTCTACAAAGATATGACTTTCAAAGACTATCATCTCTGCATAATTTGGGATAGTTAGCATTTACTTCTCATTCTCTTAAGTTTTCCATATATGAATTTATTTGTCTATAAGTGAATGCTATAGTTTTTATACTAATCAAGTGCTGTGATGATTTTGAAAGTATTGTGTAATCCATAAAGTGCTTTACAATGTGTGATTCTTTAAAATTACAAATATCACACATTAATAATGTCATTTCAAAGTGGACTCAAAGAAAATGCATAATGTCATTATCATTATTTTTAATCTGTTTTATTTAACTTCATTTTTTCCTTAGTGCTTTGGACTCTTAGGAGTGAATGGAGCTGGGAAGAGCACTACATTCAAAATTTTGAATGGTGAAGTTCCTCCGAGTTCAGGACACGCTGTCATTAGGGCTCCCATGGGGTAAGATTAAGATTTAATCATTTTGCTGTTCTGCCTAAGCAGGTAATAATCAAGCCCTGAGAAACCCCACATTCTTTCTGCCCTGTGGAATAAAGTTTGAAAGCACAATTTTCCTCCAAATTTATCTTCAAATCACCACTTCTCCAAAAGGGTAAGGGTGTCCATAATGGAACTGAAATCTGATAGCCAGAGCAAAGGGTTAGGGAGGTATTGTCACAAAGCAGCTGAGGGCAGACATCTCTGAGAGGCACCAGATTGCAGTTGAGATGTCTGTATGTAACTCAGGTGAGCAGAAAATAGCCAAGGGTTGATTCTTCTTGCTTAACCTATGGATTAGTCTTGCAATGTCCCCACTAGACAGAGTGATCACAAGGTGCCAAATGGTTTCCCTCTTTTTGCTTCAGGGAATTCTGACAACTTTGAACTGGGAGAAGTGCACACATTGAAAACTCAAACAGGGGCATCTGGGGAAGTGGGGAAGACTTGAATTTACCTTCTCTATACAAATGTGAGGTCACTGGGCACCATGCATGCCTTGAAGCTATGCCAGTCCAACTAGCTGTATGAGCTCAGGCAACACACACACACACACACACACACACACACACACACACAGTCACACACAGTGTTACTTCTGCATGCTATTCACAATTTTTTTTCCTTTTCTTTTCTTGCAGCATCTGATTCTGTAATTTCTTCTGAACTGTGTGCTCAATTAGGAGCTTTTCCTCTGAGACCTGGGGACTTTGCTCCTCTTTCTGCCTGTATGTGATAGCAGCATGTCCTCCTCTTTCCTGAGCTATAATCAGGACTAACATTTGTGGTTTTCTTTCTTCTACAAAGCGAGATTCCCTGCTCCCCACTTTTCTGAGGCTGGATTTGCTACTTGATTCCTGTTCTAAAATTGTCTTAATAGGAAACTTGGCTAAATATCAGACTAAACTCTTAATACTTTTAGCTTCACAGCTGTTTTCTAGTTGCTCCTTTTCCACAAGTCACCCATGTGCACCCCTGTGCATGTCCCCATATCCTAGTCTGTTTTCAATACTGTGCTGCAAGGCCCCGGGCATAGATCTTTTTATTTTCCTACTATAGCAAACTCACTGTAAGTTAATGATACATTTCAAGTTCTATGAAATTACAAAACAAAAGGCTTGTTTTCTGTGCATTCTCTGAATGTCATTATATGACTATCCACCAAGTTATCATGAAGTTATTTGATTTCATAATCTGTGTACTGGGGATCAGAGAATCATTTTTACATAGATTTGGAGAAAATGTGCTTTAGATTTTTAATTTTTTATGGCTTCAGATATAGTAATTGAATAAAAACAGGTTCAGAAATGTAATCACCCATCAATTAGGTACTTCTTCAAATCAACAAGTATTTATTGTCTGACTGGGTTGTGTCAGGAGAATGAAAATTTTTCCCTAAAATCCATTATTGATATTTGCATATCTCCTGTCAGTTTAATTTAAAGACCCATACAACTAATTTTATATGTTTTCTCTGTGTCTGCTTGTGTGTGTATAAGTGTGGTTGTTTATGTTGAAAGACATATGTTTCCAATTCAGATAAGATTTAAAAGATTGTTTCATTTCACTTATACATTTTACAATCCCCTTCTATAACTATGATTAAAAGTTTAAGTTTTTAAAATTGATGGCATGCAATCTCCCTTTTATTTGCAATTCATTGATTCTGTATGAACTTGAGTACCTTTCCCATATATATTTGTTACATACCTTTCCTTTCTGTCATTTGCAATTATATCCTTCAACCTTTGTGTGTATTGTAACTTTTTTATTACTTATAAATATAGGAATTTGTTACATACTCTGCTGAAATCTAATCTTTTGTATGATTTCCCTGATTTTTTCTTTTTTCTTTCTTTCTTTTCTTTTATTACCAGGAATTGAACTCAGGGTCACTTAACCACTGAGCACATCCCCAAAACATTTTATGTTTTTTTTTTTTTTAAATTTTGAGACAGGGTTTCACTAAGTTGCTTAGGGCCTCACTAAGTTGCTGAGGCTGGCTTTGAATTCAAATTCCTCCTGCATCAGCCTCCCAAGCTGCTGGAATTACAGGTGTACCTTACCATGCCTGACATGTTTTGCGTGTTTTAAATAGTCCTTTATAGTGGTATCTTGTGTTTTAATTTTGCTTAAAAGGTTCATATATAAATTCTCTGTCTCAGTGTAGTCCATTTGTTTTCTTTTCTGTGTTATTTATTACTCTTTGAATATTAAGAAATTCTTCCTTTTTTGAGGTCATAAGACTTTTCTCCATATTTTATTTTCCAAAGATTTTTTTCTTATACTCATGTGTTTATAGTATAGTTGAAATATATATTTCTAATATATTAGAAATATAATTTGATTTTTCCCTATATAATTGGTATCTAAAATGTTTTCTCAAAAACATATCCTTGTCCGCCAATTGGAAGCAGTTCTATTGTGTACCAAAATCTGATATTTAATATTTGGCTTCAAGTTCTTTCGTTTTATGAAGCATTCTACTGTAGGGGTGGAACAGATCTCTGCTCTTCTCTTCTCTTAGTTCTTACATGAGTTCTTTGAGTACAGGAACCATATCAATACAAGGAAGATCAACAAGAGAAAAGAAGACAAGTTTTATTAATTTTGTGTGTTCATAGGGATCTTCAGAAAAGTGAGAAATCTAAAGAAGTGGCCAAGAAAATTCCTTTGTACATTTTAGATGAAGAATGATAAATTTGTGAATGAATGACAGTACAAAAGGATCTCTGGCCAAGGGTAGTTAAATTCTAGGGATTCACTAAGAGGCTCTTGGGATTGTAAAACCTAGTGGAAAATTAGAGTTGCAGCCATAAGTTTATTTATTCAGGCTCGTTACAATCCCAATGTCCAGTCTTTGATTATACAAGCTACTTTCTTGCCCTGGTGCAGGAAAGACATCTTTATAGCTTGTTGCATGTAGGAAAAGATAGGCCACAGGGCCCTTTCTGCAGTTACAATTCCTCAGGTGATTTCAGTTTGAAATTACCAGTATACCATCAGCATATTTTGGGATGATGTATTCTGAGTTCCTCTAGTACATTGAATTACTTGGTCCTTTTCCTAGTTCATTTTTAGAATTGCTTGGAATATTTGGGGTACTTTTTTATTGCATACTATTTTAAGAATATAATAGTCTGCATAAAAAGACACAATATTTGATTGCTAATCAATATTTTGGATACAATTGCATCAAGTTTATGCTATAATTTGAGGAGATACAACTTCATTATGATATTTTGTCCATCTTATCTTTGATGGTGATTTGTATAAATATTTGAACCATCTTAACAACATCATTTAATTATGTTTTGAAATTTGCCTCATAAAATCCTTGAATATCTGCTTTTAGTCATTCATTCCAATAAATTTTGCTTCATCAGGAGGTAATTCATCTCTTATTTCTTTTCTTTTCCTTTAAGCTTTTTGTTTCTGGTTAGATTTTTTTTCTGGCTTGGGAGTTTTCTAGCTAACATTGCTAGTGAGTTTATGGGGTTTTGCTTTTGCCCCTTTTCTACCCTTTTGGATACCGCCTCCAGTCTGGCATTTATTCCATGGACCTTTAGGATAGAAACAGGCCTTCTATTGACAGCTTAGGTCTTCATCTCATGGTTACATACGAAAAAGAGCCTGTTCCCACTCACTGGTAGCTTGTTCTGATTCTGCCCTGCCAATCCAGCCTGGAAGGTGAGCAACTTCCTACTGATCCCTGACACCTTTGCTCAGCCATTTTCAATAAGATGTTGGGCTCTGCCCTAACCCTAGACTCAGGTAATCACATAATGAACCTGATTTTTGTCCCCTTACAATGCATGTCAATTATGAAGGACTTTTGGTCCCCACTGAAATTCAAACCTAGTACTCAACCACTAGTGGTTTTAGATCCTTCTTCTAGCTTTCTGTTTTGTTTTGCATCCACAAAGATGTGTATTTTTTATCATGGTTATTTATTTTAGGTACAATTTATGTAGAAGTGAAGAAAATAAAAGTCCTTTACTCATAGTTTCTGTGTGTAGTGGAAGAAATTTAAAATATTGTGTCTGTAATTCTACAATAGAATTCTAATTGACTTTATGTTACATTTATGGATCAATTTGGAATGAACTAACATTTTGACAATGCTATATTTTTCTCTTCCATAAAACATGTATATCTTACTAAAGTAAATAATTTATTTTAAAAAATAAATTTAAAAGTCATTCCTTATATTCTATCTAGAATACAATGCCCTTGTCAGTAATTAATGAAATATTTGTCTCCTTTTTCTCTACAGTAATACTTCCAATTTCAGTTCTTCTAGAATTATCAAAGCAATGTTAAATGACAATGCATTTTCTCATTTAGTAGTTATATTTCTATTTACTAAATATAATGATTTGAGAATTATGTACATACTGTTCATCAACTAAAATAATCACTATTTTTCAATTTTATTAACATTCTTATAAGGAATATCCTAAATTTAACATCTTAGCATTTATACACATGAATATATTTTATGGCTCTTTTTGATATATTTGTTATAAAGACAATATTCATGATTATTTATGTCCTTACCTTTCTACAATAAATTTTATTTATTAAAAGTTTTATTTACTTATTAGAAATTTGTATTTCTTTTCTCTTTTTACATATGCATATTTGTATTTCTATAAAATAATCTTAAATTCTTCTTCTGACTTTTTTACTTTGAAAAGTCTGATATAATGAATTTCTTAGCAATTTAATTTTTTACTATTTATTTTTTAAACTATTAAAAGACATCCTTCAAATTTGTTCTTCAATTTTTTTCTTCTTTGTACAGCTTTATCTTGATCATAAAAACATAATATATGATATCATTGCTATTATTCTATAATGACATATGACTTGAAATTTGGGTTTTTCTCAAAATTTAGAATATTTTTAAATACTTAATAATTTTTTGCTGTCATATTTTTGAAAATATTTTTAAAAACTAT